TGACCTACGGAACTGGACTGGCAGGGGGCTGTAGCCAAAATGAGTTTGTCTTTTAAGCTCTTCATCCATTCATCCAAATTAGGCCTTAATATGCTTGAATTGCATGAATTATGCTCTCTTGCTCTATTGGCCTACAAAACACACAAATAGAGGCAAATAACTCAGAATTATAGGAAACTAAGCAAAAGAAGTAAGTAAATTGGGCATGTATATGTATGAAATTATGAGCTTTAACAGGTAATTGATGAGTTGACACAGACAGATCATCAGAAATTACCTCACTTGACTCATTATCACGATTAGAGTAGACATGAACATAGGCAACATACCCAAAATCTTTAGGAGTCAACTTGGAGATAGAGATAGGGGAAACATGGTCACCAAACACATCATGTGGAGTCTTGAAATCAAGAACCCGGCTAGGAGTACGATTAATCAAATAGGCAGCAAACAGAACAACATGCCCCCAAAGATGATGGGGAACAGACATATCCAATATGAGTGAGTGGGTAACTTCAAGCAATTGTCAGTTCTTTCTTTCAGACACACTATTTTGTTGAGGGGTAAAAGGGGTTGTCGTTTGGTGAATAATACATTGAGCACGGAAGAAAAATGCCAAAGTATTATTCACATATTATCCTATGTTATCAGTTCGGAATACTTTGACCGAGCCTTAAACTGAGTAGACACCATAGTACAAAACTCTAGAAGGATGGAAGCAACATCATGTTCATTTTTCAGCAAGAAAACTCAAGTAAGTCGGGTACAATCATCAATAAATGTGATGAACCAATGAAATCTGTTCGACGTAACGCGAGCTAGACCCTACACATCAGAATGTACTAAATCAGAAGGCTTTGCAGCTTTACTGTCACTTAAAGGAAATAAAGTGCGATGACTTTGGCCAAAATACATCTCACACTTAAAACTGGACTCATCACAAGCGCAAAATAAAGATGGAAATATACGCTTAAGGTAGCCAAACGACGGGTGTCCCAAGCGACGATGCCATAACCGAATTTGGTGTTTGTCTTTGACACTGCAACTTTGAACAGTATTAACAACACGATCACAAACTAGTGCAGAAGGCAATGTCAAATAATATAACCCCCTATCCATTAACCATGCTCAATTGTCTCATGAGTCTTAAGATCCTGAAAAGAGCAATGTGTAGGATAGAAAGTAGCAGAAACATTAAGTGTATCAAGTAATCGACCAACAGATAACAAGTTACAATGGATATTGGGAATTAGTAACGCACTAGACAAGGACAGAGTAGGAGTGAGAGAGATTGTGCCCTCGCCAGTAATTGGAGAAGGCAAGTCATTAACACTAGTTATATATGGGTCACGAGTGTTACTAAATAACTCATCAAAAAAATTAGCATCATAAGTCATATGAACAGAAACATGAGTGTCAATTATCCAAGTATTTGAGTTAGTGCCTGGAATAGAGTCAGAAACACACAAATTTGCAGAAGCAGTAGCAACAGCACCAACAATGGAGTTATCACCAATAATTGTAGCAGAAACTCAACAGATCACGGCAGAGAACACAGCGGAACACAACAAAAGCACAAATACGGCAGATGCACGAAGACAGACACGAATACAGTAGAGATACAAACACTATAACACAATACACAAACCCAGGAAGGCACACACGGCATAGGTAGAAAAAAAAATATATATATATAGGGCTAGAACAACACACAGGTCACCAGAAAAGTTGGCTCTGATGCCAAATCAAACAATATGGGTAGAATATTTTCATATTATATTTCATTCTCCAAAAGGATGTATTTATAATACAAGGATGTAACCCTAGTAGGGTTAAATAAGGAAACAAGATAAAATCCTAATTAAATAATATATGTACAAAAGGAAAGAAATAGAGTCCTAATTAACTAGGAAATAAATCTCCTAATTAAGCTAGGATCTCGCTAACAATTTTAATTTTACATTTGCAAAGTTTACAGCTTACAGAATTTTCTGAAAAAAGATAAATTATTGGAAAATTAACTCCCACTCTAGGGCAATTAAAACAAAACCGGGAAAAAAAGGAAGAAAAAAAAAATGACAACACAAAATTCTCATGCGCTCATTGAGTTTTGGTTACCCTAGCACTCTTTCATCTTCACAGCTACTAGCAAAAAGAAGCAATACTCTTCACAGACCCACAAAAAAGAAATTGAGAGCAGAGTCTTCACGATCTACCCTAGGTATTCTTCTTCATAGTTTCTTCTTCTTCTTATGTCTTCATCTTTTTCTTTTTCTTTTTCTTCACAATTTCTTATGTTTTGTTTCTCTCTATTTACAGAGTCATCTGGTTCTTATTTACAAGAATTCGAACTCAAGTTTGTCTATCAATTCTCTTTGCTTTATAACGTTTGAGTATTTGTGTGAAAATTACTGTGTTAAGATATCTCATATGAGTTTTGATATTCAATTGATTGGTTTATGAGATCTGTTTGATAATAGGCTATGTGGGTTTGGGTTTTTTTGTTGGGTTATAGTGGGAGAAGTGAGGGAAGGATGAGGGCGCAATTATAGAATATGCAAAATTGCTCTGCTGCTAGTTGATTATGACATAAAGTTATATGCTTTTTATTGACTTACTCAATTTGCAAAATTACAAGTCATTTTGTTTATCTTTTTTATTTTCTGTCAACTTGGAATTTTCTCTTGGTTTGTTTGTTTTTTCCTGAATCTGTTGAAGTGTTGATGGCATCTTTTAGTTACATGCTCTGTTATGTAGTTCTGGCTTGTAAAAGAATGAATGATATGTATAAAGCTTTGTCAAGAAAAAATAATGAACGAAACAAAATAAGTTTTGGTTGTAAGCAACTAGTTGAGATGTGCACACTGCTATTCATGTCAAAAGCTAAAATTCAAATCTTCTAAGCAAAACACACTAAAAGGTCAACTAAAGTAAAAAATAAATAAATAAAAGACATTTAAGCTTTTGGTAATTTTAAAAAAAAACCACACGAAAGTAAATAAATTACATGTCTTTGGATCCTCTACCATCCTCTTTATCTGATTCTATTTGTTCTCTAAGCTTAGTTGTTTTCATTTTTTTTACCTTTTTTGTGGGATTTTTAGTTTTGGGTCTTATGCTGTAGCGATATTTTGTTAAGTGTATTGACAACTCTGTATTTCCTATTTGGTGTGTTTATACCATAAATTGTACTCTTCACTAGCAAAATTAATTGATTGAGAATGTGGAACTTTGAGATTGGGCGTCTGTAACAATAGCCATATTACCCAGCCAATGTAATATGCCAATTATTATGTCTTTACTATAATTTGTTTCTCTCTTGTCTCAATCAAATGTAGATAATATGCCAATTGATAAATCATGGATGCGATCAGGGAGGTCAACACATGAGTATTTTATTAATTACGCATATAAGCATCTCAAGTATGATGACATGAAAATTTATTGTCCTTGCGTTAAATGTAGTAATAGGGATAGACGGGTTTGTGATGGAATACACCAACATCTTCTGTTTAAGGGTATTAGGCATGTTTATACTTGATGGTATTTGCATGGGGAGGATGAGGATAATGATAGTGATGAAAGTGATAGTAGTAGTAGTAATGGAAATGAAGTGGATAATCTAGATTCAATTGATAACATACACGGTTTAATAGAAGAAATTTTTCCACAAGAGGAAAGTTTTACAAATTGTTAGAAGAGGCGGAAGATTCATTGCACAAAGGGTTTTGAGACATACTCCTACTTGTCTTTTGTTGTTATCTTGATGCATATCAAGTGCGCAATAATTGGAGTAACCAATCTTTTAACATGTTGATGGAAGTGTTGAAAAAAGTATTTCCTTTTGGTAAAATGTTGCCCACAACCAAGTATGGTGCAAAAAATATTGTTAAAGATCTCGGCCTTCATTATGAGAAGATTGACGCATGTAAGAACGATTGTGTAATCTATTATAAGGAGCATTGTTGGGTTCTTTTTTACACATGATTTATCATGTTATTCACCCAATATTTTGAGTTAGTTCTTGACATTTTATAGCATTTTACTTCATTTTTGTGTTTTTATAGAATTTTACTTTGGTTAGAATGAAAGTGAGCTAAAAATGCATTATTGGTTATAATTTCTGTTTTTGCTCATTTTCGTAGGTTAACTTCATGACCATGGATGATCATCTTACGATGCTCGAATGTAGTGAAGCTCTTCATGAAACTTGTTGCAATGGATGTCAACTATAACATATCCGAATTTGAGCTCCATTGAACAAGTATAACTTATCCAACCGATCCAGCATTTAACCCTAGCTCTAAAGGTTCGTCTTGGGCCAATTTTTACCTCCATGATGTCATCTTGATTTTTCTTGTTACCATACCATTTGGTAACTAGAACTTACCTTGATGGAGTGCAATTTTCTGAGACAAAGAGCGTCTTTGTGAAGACAAAAACCAAAAATCTCATCATGACATAGAGAAAAAGAATCATTATGTTATTGATGGGTGAGTTGGAAATGAGGAGAGAGAGAAGGAGCAAAAGAAAAAGGGGCATAAGCCCAATTGAAGGGGGGATTCGACAAATTTGGATCTAGAGAGCTGGAGAGGAAGCAGAAGGTGCAGCCAAGCAAGAAGGAGAGGAAGCAAAAAGTAAGGAGAGAAAGATTTCCACCATTAAAGACCTTGAGCTTCCATCACTTTCACAAAATCTGTAAACTCTTTCTAGTTATATTTTGAATTCGTGTTTGAAATAAGTATGAGGAACTAAACTCCATAGCTAGAGCTGAGGTTGAAGCCTTAAACATGATTACTCTATTGTTTTGATACTTGAGTTTATGAATTTCTAGATGTTGTTGATGAATTCACATTCACTAATTGAATATATCCTTGATGTATGTTCTTTGATTGATCACCTTTGAAAGCATGTTTCTTGAGGTTGTTGGGATTATATGTACCCTCATGTTTTTCTAAGCAATAAATGGATGAAGTAAGAATCATCCATGTGAATTGGTTTCTTGAATGCTTAATGTAAACACCATACTATTAGGGTTCTTGTGATGTTCATATTCTCTTTGAACTTAATGGGTTTTCCATATAATTAATTCGAAGTATTGAGCACACCTAGATTGATTTTAAGGAAAGCACAAGTATTATAGCACTAGCCCCGTACTCTACTTATTTTAGAGAGAATCAATGCATCTTGAGCCACTGGACTTGATATTGATTGCGAATATCTTCATCAACACATTTAGAATTCATTACTTGAGTGTCCATGAACATGAGTAGGATTGTTTAAGGTGGATTCCGAAAACCCTAGTGTTTGTTACATACTAATTTCACACTTTGATATTCATTTTTGTCAATCTTGTTAAGTGTGTGTGTGTGTGTGTGTGTGTGTGTGTGTGTGTGTGTGTGTGTGTGTGTGTGTGTGTGTGTGTGTGTGTGTGTGTGTGTGTGTGTGTGTGTGTGTGTGTGTGTGTGTGTGTGTGTGTGTGTGTGTGTGTGTGTGTGTGTGTGTGTGTGTGTGTGTGTGTGTGTGTGTGTGTGTGTGTGTGTGTGTGTGTGTGTGTGTGTGAAATCTTGAGTGTTAATACCCCGATTAGATTTTTGGCTCATGAGAGGACTTGTTCAATTTCCGACAAAATTGAAAGTTGGATCAGGTTGAGAAAAGCAGGCAAGCACGGGCTGGGCCCTGATGACTTGCTTCTTCTAGCCTGATCACAGATTGCGTAGGCGTGCCACTTTTGGGGATGAGACCAGCCCAATAGACCTGGTATATATGATGTAGAGTGCTTGTTTAATGGACTTGCGCTTGTTCTAGACCTTTAATCAAGCCATTGTGTTCCAAGGGGGGGTACTAGCTCAAATGAGTTCTTTTCTATACCTCAATTAAGAGGACTTCAATATTCTTTCAATCGTGCGTCGATGGTTTGGCAAATGCATATGGTACCTAGCCAAATAGGAAAAAACCAATGTTGAGGTCAATGCTCCCTTGATTGGGTTCATAAACCTAATTTGGGCCTGAGATAACCCCCTAGACTGGGTTAAGACTTAGCTAATTCGGGCCCGGATAAACCCTTGTTTTCTGGCTAATAAAGCCCTATTCAGACATAAAACCCTTATTTTGGGTCTATCTAGTAATGAGCAGTTATATCAAGAAGTTCAGATATAAAAATGCGGGAATATAAACTTTTAGAAAGTACGATGCAAAAAAGATAAATGACAAGAGTGTAAAGTATGATTAATGAAAACTGCAAAGAGAATAAAATTTCCAGAAGCCAGAGATTTCTCTATCTAGCTCCAGCATGATAACAAATTAAAATGAAAACCAAAGATTTCTCCATTTTGCTGTTTTTTCAAGAACAAGTTACAATATTGAAGAGATTGGATATTTCTCTTATCCAATCTATACAGGTTTTAGCTGTTTAGAAGAAAACTATATTGAGTAGTTAAACAAGAATCATACCATATAGATGGCAAAGCAATAAAAGATAAACGCAGGAGTTGTCAATTGGTTATTTGGGTAGCAAGTTGGCTAATTGAAAAATCTTGAAGTTTGTTCAAGTGTTTACAAGACGTTGCGTCTGATTTTGGAGAGAGATTCCTCTTGTGCTGCTGTTGAGCCTCTATATTTATAGGCAAAAGTCCCTAATGATGACGGTGAAAGCTGGAGGAGGATACTTGGGTGTTGTCCAAAGTCAGTTGCTGATATGTCCTCACGCATTGATCCAAAGGTAGCAGAAAGGATATCTCTGATGAAAATATTGGTTTAAGGGATGTCCCTTTGATTTTTCATCCTTTCGTAGCTGGAAAATCAATTGGAAGACGATTCCTCTTTGTTTTGGCATCCATTATCCAGCCTGCTTTCTTTCTGAGAGACATGGTGGTCAAGTCATTCTTAATGACGAGAACCCATCTTTAGACTGTCACATGGGTCAATTGGTAACGGTTACCCATTTTCTAACTTTAGTGTGGGTTAAAACTGGAATCATTTCGCAACATGGGCTTTTGAGTGGGTTTCACTCATTACTAGCCCAAATCCAAAACAGCCCTTTTCGTTGGTTTTATGAAACAAAGAAATTGGGCTTGGGTCTAATGTAATTTTATTGGGAAGGCAAACCATCTTTGGCCCATTTTCTAAATATGGTACAAACACTATTGAAATCATATTTTTACATACAGACAGCTATGAACCATATTTTGATCACTTGAAGGCATAAATTTTATAGGTTTGGTTAATCATAAGTTGACACCAAGGAACTTCGTTGAAACTTTATGTACCATTATGATGCTGCATGATTCCTCTGAGCAGTAAAAAATAGTTGTGATTTTTTAATTATACTTTTTTGTTACATTGGAGGAAATCAAACACTTCTCTATCATCTAATTCATTATTCCACATTCCCTTGCCACTTAAACTAACCCCAAGAATTTGAGGGTTGGGATTCTTGGTTCAAAAGGGCTCGCGCCTTGCCCAACCTGAACCAAGAAAAGCATTACCTTTTATCAAGCGTTAAAGTTGCCCATTAGCAGTCATCGGCTATCTCAGGTGGGCAGAGGCTAGAGATTTAATAGAAGAAAAAAAAAACCAAAAGTATGTACAGAATTTGAGATACAAAGGAAAATTGCCATTCATGATTGCAAGTCAAGGTTGCATTTCCACAAAGCAGATTTCTAAAAATTACACAAAGTAGGAAGCTGTAGTCAAAATTACACAAGTGAGAATCCTTGCACGACATCACCAAACCCAAGCTTGTACAAAGATAATATCTCATTCTGCTACTTATACTATACTTAAGAAAAAAATCTGTCAATCGTGACACAGGGAAATGTTAGTTATGTTCTAGTACATTAAACATAATGTTAGTAATTGATTTTTACAAAAATAAAAAATAAAAAATAAAAAAAATAAAGTTACTGTAGTAATTCAAACATTACCTTGCTATTTACCCACCCACCCACTTTTATCCTTACCATGTCCATTTTTTCTCTCTCATGCCCAACTTAGTCACAAGATGAAGATTCTACTAATTTTGTGTCAATTTACTGGACACAAGATTCTGCTACCTATTTTTGCTTTTGCCTATGATAGCTAGAGAAAGAAACAAAAAAAGAATTTTCATGAGAAGATTTTATTTACGCAAGAATGATGAATCAAGAGTGCCATTTGTTATTCCAATTATACAACGCATTCTGTTTTCCATATATAATCAGAAAAACATCGGCAACTACTGAAACAATCTACAGAAAAAAGGAGGACCTCAGAAGCTTCCCAATCATCTTCATCCTAAGGAACAACCACTGCATTTCCCCCTTCCACCATTCAAGTCATTCTATTCAAGTTTTATTCTTTTCTTTCCTTCTTTCCTATTAAAAGTTATTTTTACAGTATGGAGTATGCTCGAATCACCTCAACAATCGGTGCTCGACAAAGTGGGCACTTCCCTCCGCCACGAACCAACTCGTTTGCACATTTTGAACAAGTGCACATGTGCCCGCATCTGCAAACAGAAACAAAAAGAAGGGAAAAGGGGACACACAAAGAAGAGTGTATTATAAAACCATAGTCATCCTGCACACCATCAAGTTCCAAAATAGTTATTCAAAATGAATGTGTAACGGTTATAAGCACAATACCTGTACAAGAGAGAATCGATGTGACTATCACAACAAACACAACAAGTCCCTTTTCTCACATGACCCCATTTAGACCCATCCTCTGATGTCTCAGCGCCTAACCCTGCAATGTATTTGCATATTTCAAATCAATTACGAAAGATCAATAGATGACAGTTACAAGTTACAACACTAGTATGAAAACCCATCCACAATTTTGCTTCAATGATCACATCTACAGTTCCATTGCACACAGAGAGACATTTCTTGAACAAACCTTTTTCACCAGATGAACGATTCAGAGCTGCAGAAACTTCCTGTCTGACAGAACGTTGCAACTCCAATTGCATATCCATGCAGGCCTCCAACATCCTCTGCATGTGGCTCATGCCTTGCTGAAGTCTTGCCATGTCTGCTCTTAGATCATTAATCATCTCCCATTCCTGCTACAAATCAGAATTCACATTCAAAGAAAGCAACAGAGAGCAAGGAAACTAAAACCTATGCACAGAAAAGAATGTAGAATAGAAGATCCAGTCCAGCTCCCATTTACATCAATCATCAACTAATCAGGCAAAATGCATTCTAAATGAGTCTTGAAAAGTACTTTTGGTATGGTATGATGTCTTAGCAAACAAGACATCATAAGAATCTTAAAGCATGTGAAAGATGATAGGCCCCCATTAAATATCAAATTGGACAATAATTTTCCACAAAAATGCAAAATATTAGGTACTAGGCTATTTATAAAGAATAGCACATGGTAAGGCGAAAAAAGTAATGAACCAACCCCATGTCATTATTCCTCAAGTTAATGTCATACTAAGGTCCCAATTCCTTATGATCAACAGAAAGATTCCATATATAAAATAGAATTCTATTTCTAGTACTACATTCTTTTTTTCTATACATATTTTAATTCTGGAATAAAAATTTATAAAATCTGTAAAATATATTAATACATATTATATTATGTACATAATAGATATTTAATATAATAACTACATAATAGATATTTACTAATGTACTAAATATTGAATAAAAATAGATATTTATAAGTAAATATTACCTTTTATTAAATTTATCATACATATGGTTATATTATATACTTATTAACCAGGTGATGGTT